AGAGGCCGAAAGTTCCGAGCGTAGCACCCGGAGCAGTCGAAGTGCTCCGGGTGCTACGCCCGGAACTTTCGGCCTCTGAGCCCGGAACACGGACGGTATCTCTATACAGCCCGTAAGTACGGCTTTCACGGCCGGAGTGTTTTTTTCAGTGTGGCAACGACTGAAGGCTCATACGGCATTTTTCCTTAGCACGGCAGTATTGAAGAGTCAAGGTTGTTGAAGAGTTGTTGCTTGAACTTTCAGCATCCACGAGTCTTCTTGAGATTCCGACGTAAGAAATCCATAAAACGTGTTAAAAAATATTGACGCTAGAAGTTTTCTTTACATTTCTATGACAGCTAAATGCAAAAAATAGGCATCCATCGTTCCATTAAAAATTTCCGATTATTTTTTTCGAGAGAATTTATTATAGAATGCAGAGGAGCCTGCCAAAACCGTTGCAGCGCGCGATTTGACTCGCGTAGATTGTCATTGTATTGCGTTTATTAGGACCGGGCAATTCAAATTTCCCGTAACTAATGTAATTAGTTATGAAGTGATTTCAGCAATTTTCGATGCAAAAACCGTAGTCTACGTGAAATTTCCGCCAATGCTTAAATTTGTTCTTGGTCTAGTGGTCCATTTGTGCGTTACACAAAATTCAAGCTGGGAAAAATATCTCTAGCTATCATAGGACATCTTTGCATGCCTCCCTCAAAATAGACAAATTGACGAATTACTGTTTTCTCCCAAATTCTTGAAGTATAAACCCTCCATTTTCGGTCCATTCCATATCCCTCATCCCTCAAAATAACACGACCTATTTCTCCGAATATTTTCGGAATGTCTGCTGGTGAAGATTTCTAAAAAAAACCAGCATGTCGGGACTAAACACTGTAAATTCAAAAACTGGGTTATTTAAGGTGGAAAATACCCACAAAATCTAATTATTATGGGCGAACTTTATAACCTAATTTGCTCATTTACATAATTTCTATAATTAGCTCAACCAACTAATGACGTAAAAAGCTTACCGTAAAAGCGGAAATTCTTGACCATCTCCAAGTGTTCTTCCGGCAGATAGGTGATTTTTTAGCAAAAAGGAACTTACAGAAAAAACAGACCATTTGGATTGTTTCTCATCGACAAACGCGTTGGTCGATCGAATCAACTACAGGTATTATGCGTAGGAAGTCAAAACGCCTTCAATTTTTAAAACGCAATACGGACATCCGTCGAGGTTGTATAGTTGTATCAAGGCGCCGTAGCAAACGCGTCCCATTGTTTATCGTTACAGACGAATATAAGTTGAAAGAGTTAGTTAGTTAGTTAGTTAGTTAGTTAGTTATTATAATTTTAAGACATTCAGCGTCTCAGGCTATCAACGTCTTTACAGATAATTTTAGAAAAGGGAGTATAAACGAAAATTTAGATTTTTAAATTAAGAGAGGTGAAGAGTTTTAGAATTTTGGTGATAATATTGGGTTCATCGCATGTAAGAGGGTTTGAATTTCTGTTGATTGTAGGGGAGTAGATCTGTGATTGGAGATATCGGAGGGAAAAGCAGTCCATAAGTATGTGTTTGATGGCTAGAGGTGATGAATTGCAGAAGTGGCAGATGGGTTGGTTTTCTTTGGATATGATATGACTGTGAGTGAAAAAAGTGTGACCTATCCTGAGACGCGCAATTTGGACTTCACATGATCTTGTGGGCAGTCATAATGATTTCGAGTTTATACCTACATATTTTTGGGCAAAATGAGAGACGACGTTTCTCCATTTGCGACGTTGCAGACTTCCTTAGAAATTTTATTTTTCTTTCGAGAAACTGGTCAACATAGAACTTAAATTCTTCATGATTTCTCGTATTCGATAGCAGAAGATTTGGTTTAAAATTTAAAGTCTTAAATTTGGATTGTTTCTCATGGAAGAGATGAATTAAGAACGGAAATTTTGAAACACCGCAATGGAGATACGTGGTTACGCACTTCAGTCGGACCGATACGGACATATCCAACAAGCTTAAATAGTTGCATCAAGTCCCCGTCACCGCTGACCAACGCGTTAATTGTCGATCGAATCAACTACAGGTATCGTAGGAAGTCAAAACGCCTTCAATTTTTAAAACGCAATACGGACATCCGTCGAGGTTGTATAGTTGTATCAAGGCGCCGTAGCAAACGCGTCCCATTGTTTATCGTTACAGACGAATGTAAGTGGAGAGAGGGCAGTCATAATGCCTTCAAGTTTATACATACATTTTTTGGGCAAAATGAGAGACGACGTTTCTCCATTTGCGACGTTGCAGACTTCCTTAGAAATTTTATTTTTCTTTCGAGAAACTGGTCAACATAAAACTTAAATTCTCCATGATTTTTCATATTCGATAGCAGAAGATTTGGTTCAAAATTTAAAGTCGTATTTGCAGCCAGGAACTGAGATTTTGTTTGATTAATGATCCTAGACAAACAAATGCCCGTTTCCTCATGTTCATCCTCATCTTACCTCCCCTTTTGGAGGCTTGATTATCTTTTTCTTCGTATTTGTAACCTTCTTTGTTTTTTTTCCGGTCTCCATTGTTTCTCCGGATTGATAGAGGCCCGTCACTGGTCTTAGGAGTCCATTAAACATTCCTATAGGTCTTTTTAGTGAAGGGTATTGTGGGCCCTCCAAGGAAGGGTCACGAGGGTCACTCATGACAGTCAAAATATTTCCCAGCTTCAAGAACGGCTCGACCCTCTGGGCTTTTCTATTCGCCCTTAAGGTCCTGTTTAAGGTCCGATCAGATGATGGAGCCGTTC